AGTGGTAGATATTTTTATGCGCAAACAAACTCTGATCCTCATAGATTTATATAAAAAAATATATTGTATCCAATAGTAGTAAAAAGAAACAGAAAATATTTATTTGAGACTGAGTAAATCAACTCAAATGGAACGGATTCATTCTAATGGGCACCACCCGCATAGACCAAGCAGTGGGTTTTTGAGATGTTTCCAACGGTAAAAATGGGTGTAGATTTATTCATCTATAAGTTATTTATTTTGACAGTATCAATACACTTGATAAGAAGAAATAAATTATTTATAATTTCAACTACAATTAATTCTTTTAAGCTCTTCTTTCAACAACATGGTTTACATTGAGTTTTCATAAAATCCTTCATTACCATAATTTTATTTTTGTGAATTCTTGTTGCCACTCTCCAGGAACCGTTATAGTATTTGTCTCTTCTAAATAAAATTTATATTCATTGTTTGGGTTCATTTTTATTATTAGGGACACAGGATGGTATACATGGGAAATCTTTTTATCATTAGAGGCTGCAGTAAGGTTATGCAGTGATAATGGAGGTTGCAATAGTTTTTATTTTACTGTTGCTATTTTTATCAGTAAGTAAATACACACTAATATACATATATTCAACTTAATTATAGCAATAGGTTAATGAAGACTGCACAAAAAAATTCGGAGGCTGCAGCTACAACACGGGCGGCCTATCTGTGCACTATGTCATTTGAATATAAAAAGTGGAAATATTGTGTAGCATGGAATGGATTAAAACATAGTTTAATCTATCATAACTTGCAATATACCAAATGCATGGATCTTGAGGATTACTGATGTGCAGATTCTTACAGTTTTGGAATGGTGCATAATTAGGAGGATTCATGGGAGTTTATAATTTACTATAAATCAGTATTTCTCCTGTCTCCTTTAAATGAAATTTATTGATTGTCCACTTTCTTCAAGTTTTTTATAAGAAAGATATCTATGGTCTGTGGCCTAACTAGTCAAGTCGAAAACTGATGAGAAAATGAGAGAACTAGACTTGATACAATTCTAATGTATTTTCATAAGATACCAAAAAATTCACTTTGTAATAAAAAAAAAAAACTATTGGGATCTAGAATTGCAGAACTTTACCAATGGTGTAAGAGGCCAAGAGTTAAACAATGATCGACTTAACGCAACTTGAGGATATGTCAACTCAACTAGTTATGGGCAGAGGCCAGAGATATATCAGTGTTTATTTATTTTTAAAAATAATACATATTGGAAATACTACTTTAGATTATTAGGGCAAAAAATGGTCAAATGAAAACATTGACATACCTTGTCATACTTGCACCCTGAGTTCCTTGAGCCCCATAGTACCTGCATGCCTCCATGTCCTATACCTGGCTAAGTCTTTTCGTGTCACCATACCAACTACCTAAAGTATCAGAAAGAGTAATTACTATATTATAGGAAACTATTTTACTCAGTAAAATATTATATTTCTGAAATATATAAACAATTATTATTTAAGGAATTTTCAATTTAATATCTCATTTATAAATGAGATTGATATGAGAGTCATCAAATTTTATATATGATTACCTCATTAACATCATTCACAACTATAATGTGACGTAGACCCAAACCCCGAAATAGCCTGAAAATTCTTGGCAGTGATGCATCCTGTGAGACAAACGATAAAATGAGTTTAATTTTCAAATATACCATTTGAAGATATAGGTCAATAATAAAGTGAAACTTACCAACTTAACTGTGTAAGGGGATGGGTTCATATAAGGCCTTAAATCCAGAGTTTGGTTATAATCTTCTTCTGTTATTTTGACATCCTTGAATAAGAAATAAAACTTTGTAATTGTGTATTAATTAAATTATTATTTTTTTCCTTTAAGGAAATCATTTATATAAATTATAACATCAGCTTCATATTTCATCAAACTTTAGTAGTTATAATGATGTAGAGTTGGTTGACCGTTGATATGATATGAGAAGGAATTAGTCGAGGGTGCGGTCAAAATAATAAAAAAATTAAAATATATAAATAATTTTAATTTTTGCCGACGTTTCGACCCACTTTGCAGGTCGTCTTCAGGGCTACAAAAGATACAAACATGTTGAAAAAATAAAAATAAAATAAAAAATAAATATAAGTATATATAAATTACGAAGAAGTTGTCAGATACAGAAATAAAAGATAAAGAAAATAAATACATGATAAGAAGATAGATAAAAGAAAATAAATACATGAATGTTAACGACTAATGAATGTTAACGAATAAATTGATTGAAAATTGAATAACTATTGTTACAGTAACAATAGTTATTCAATTTTCAATCAATTTATTCGTTAACATTCATTAGTCGTTAACATTCATGTATTTATTTTCTTTTATCTATTTTCTTATCATGTATTTATTTTCTTTATCTTTTATTTCTGTATCTGACAACTTCTTCGTAATTTATATATACTTATATTTATTTTTTATTTTATTTTTATTTTTTCAACATGTTTGTATCTTTTGTAGCCCTGAAGACGACCTGCAAAGTGGGTCGAAACGTCGGCAAAAATTAAAATTATTTATATATTTTAATTTTTTTATTATTTTGACCGCACCCTCGACTAATTCCTTCTCATATTTAGTAGTTATAATATACACAGAGTTTATAATAATATAATATATTATAAACAATTAGTAAAAGTTTAAATTAAATTATTTCATGACATTTGAAATACATGCATGAAAATAATGTAGCATGCTAATAAAAAATTTGTAAGACAATCAATTTCAGATATAAAGGGTGATTTTTAAATTTACAGCTATTATTAATTTTGGTGAATTAATTCCTCTATACTTTCCTACCACTACTGGATGAAGAAAGTATTATAATAGTGTAAAATTTTCTATCTAGTCTTCAATGGATCTTTACATTTTAGAACCCTCTTTGGAAAATAAACTTTCACTCATTTTTTGTGTGCCACGATTATTTTTCCAATGGGTAGAGTGATTTTGTAGCTTCATTTTTGTTTAGCAGGGATTTGGCCTCCCGACGCATGTGAACCAAATTCAGCATGATGAGCAATGTGAGGATGGGGTGGCTGAATAGCCTAACGCATGTGTAAAACACACATTGCCTGGCAACAATTACACAATACATCAAACATGATAAACCAAAGTTTATAAGATGTGAAATAATTATGAGTTAGTGTCCTGTTGCCGAGGGGGAGGGTGGAGGGGAAGGTAGGGATTTTTAACTGTGACATTAATCACCTGCCCCTGGCCTGGGGAAATCCCCATATAGCCTAAAAGTTGAGATAGGGGTGGACAAAAAAAAAAAAAAAATGTGTTTCTTGTTTACATAAACTATAGTTTCATAATGAGTACTAATGGAGCGTGTCCAAAAGTTTTCAACATAAAGTCCTTAATATTTTCATATATAGTAAAATATTCTCAACATTCTCAACAAAATAAAGCATCTAAAAAGGAGTTGGTCGGGAGGTGCGGTCAATATATAATACTTTATATTATAGTATTATAATATATTCTCCCCAACAAACTCCCCAAATTATAATCGTGGTCAACCATCTCGAAACCATTAAAAAAAATTGGACCATCTTAAAATTATGAATAAAATCTTAATTGGACCAGGATTAGCAAAGGTATAGTATACCCATTTGCTTTTTATTAGTTTGGGAATAATTTGAAAACTAATAAATATAATGGAACATTCAGGATAATCATTTGAAAGGTAATTAAATTATTTAATAAATGAAAAATATTGTTTATGAATAAAAATAAAAGAACTCTAAATTAGGTGGATATCAGGAAAATCACGTATATGAACATAGATAAATCTCAAGTTTTGATTCAGCTGCCTGAAATTAATTGTCAGTATTGCAGCATACTCTCTTCCATTACTTCCAATTGTAGGCTAACTGATACTACAATCCTGATCTGGAGTTTTCTCTAATTTAAAAAAAAAAATTAATTAAATATTTACCCAAACCTTTCAAAGTGGATTAATAGTAATCATATGCATTACCATATATAATAAACATTGCATTTAAAAAAAATGCATTTAAAAATAAACCTGAAGTACATAAGCTAACCAATCAATATTTAGATTATTGTTTAAAGCAATATTTTTAATTAATAAAATTTGAATAACATTATTTCTTTAATAAATCATAGTATTTGCAACCTATTCAACTAATGCATGTATATGGAATTAAAGTTTTTTTATAGGAAGATTTATATATTTTAAATAATTACCTCAATCCATCCTGAACGCAACTTGAAAGCAATAACATGCAATTAGTAAATTAGCTCCAATTAAGGTATCACACTTGTATCTATAATAAAAAGGAGTTTATATCAATCTACAGCTAAGTCATACCTCTACATGATCAAAATATATAAATAAAAAAAAATGAATATAAAAAATATTAGAATTTTAGTTTCATAACAACAGAAGTAAATAAATAAAATTAAAAAAAAAAGAATAATAAAAATGTAGGTAAAACCATGCTAAATAACCATGCAAATAAAATATTGAAATTTTATGAATTAATTAATTTTTATTCTTTAATTAAATAAACAACAGCTACCTGCATTTTCTGATGTTTAGCATATGCTTCTCTAAACAGCTGTAGTTTCTTTCGTAACTGTTCGCTAGTACTCGGAGCTAATTCATTAAATGACTTGCTATGAAGAAGTATGAGCAGCTGCGACTTCAGGATCAGTCCTTTTAGCCTTCCTGCAGACTTCAAAACACCTTATCAACATAATATTGCAATAAATAAAACAAAAATAGACAAAGTTTGCTAAACTGACAGAAGACCAAGGGGTAATCTATCAATAGAATAACTTCTTTAAAGTAATTAATTTAAGTATACTGTGCAATCTCAGTAATTCAAACTAATTGCTGGAGAGGGATTTTCATTATTACCTGTATACAAAGGTTTATACTCACTTTAAGACAATGCATTTATGACAATCTATTTTAATAGTTTATTTTACTATTGTTATATTTAGTTTTTTTTCCCCAAGCTAATCCTGATTAAAGATAAAATAAATCTAAAGTTTAACAAAGGGATACATACCTGCCCTATTGAAGTTGAAGGATCAACTATGGGGAATCCATTGTGAGGAACATTGTCTAATGTGTCAATGATCCTAGCGACCTTCACTTTTGCCGGGAAAACTACAGGAGGGGCTGACATCACATCTGTTGCTTTGATGTCAGAAGACAGGGGAGGAGGTGCTGAAGGTAACAATGGCACCCCATTTAGGTAGATCTGCATCTCATAAACACCCTAAAAGAACATAACATTTTTATTACGTTTCAAAAAAAAAAAAAAAAATAAACTAATATTAAATATAAACAAGACTAAACGTTAATGTATTTTTTAAAAATATATTATTTTATTTTCTAGTATCTTTTTATATATTTATTTATATTTTACAATGTCATCACCACGTATGTGAATGACACATAAATCCTACCAGTTAATAACGAGCCATCAATTGCATCCCAAACTCTTCAATCACACATCACAAATCTTGAAGAATGAATGAAAATAATTTTATTATTCTGGGACTAGTGTCCCTTTAGAACAACTTACAAATACATGATATATATTGATATTCTGGTGTGTCCATAAAATACAATTGAATATTTACAGGATGATTAGAAATAAAATAAAAGTACAGATAATAAAAAGATATAATAAGGTACATAAATATAAAGTAAACAGAGAAAGTTAAATAAATTAACAAAATATCAATAATAAAGAAATAATCAAAGTATCTGAGGGTACTTTGAGATTCTTATGACTTAGATTTTTAAGTACATTTCATGATCAACCGGATTGGGAATGGAGTAGATATTTGAAGAGGAGAGATTTGAAAGAGCATACGGACTTTGTGTGTCTAATATCAGAGGGGACAGAATTCCAGAGAGAGACAGCTTGAATTATAAAGGATTTGTCAAATGCAGCAGTACAGTGAGGAGGAGGATTGAGGTCGGAAATACGAGATCTAGTGAGATGGAATTGGATGGTATTAAAATTGTAATCTGTGGAAAATATAGGACGGTTGATGAGTTCTAATGACCTGGTACAGAAAGGTAGCTCGGAAGTACTGATGGTGAAAGGATGGATAGAGCAACTTAAATTCGATGTATACTGAGTAATATGTGTATCTCTTTAAATTCTGAAAACAAAACGTATGGTCAACCTGGTCAAATGCTTAAGAGGAATCAAGAAGGATCAGGATGGTGAGTTTCTGATGGTCTATGGCTGTGTGGAGATCTTGGGAGATTTTAATTAGGGCAGGATGAGTTGAGTAGTCAGGTCTAGAACCAGACTGGAAGCAGTTCAAAAGAATGGTGTCAAAACTGAAGAATTAAAATAAATCCCATCAAATTACCTTTACCCTTCATCGTAAACCAATGACTTCCTGTCCTACAGTATCCTTTAACAATACCTCACTTATCCCTGTTGAACAAATTCCTTATCTATTACTCCATCTGGACAAATGTCTCACTTGGAATCCTCATACCAGACTGAAACGACAAGAAACTGCTCGACATTTCACTACGTCAACATCAAACTACTTCAACACTTACTAGATAAATGCTCTAACCTTCCAATTAATTACAAAAGACTCATATATACATGGCTATAATAAGGCCTATTTGGATTTACAGAGTGAGCTATGAGGCTCCACCAAAACCATCAAATTCCTCTTGTGTCCAATCCTTACAATCAAAAATCCTCACTGCTCAATACTTTGTTACAAATAAAATCATCCATAATGACCTTAATGTTCTTTATGTTTCAGATTTGGCTTAATACCTATCCTGCCATAACAAATTTCATAACCATCCAAGCCCTCTTGTTTCTAACCTTGTTATCTCTTCAATTCCTGAATATCCTCCGAGGCGTCTGAAAAAAAGATGGCCCCATGATGTCTTAATGTAGACATATTATTAAAGAGGTACCAGTGGTAATTTCTCAACAAGTGTTTCATGTCATTATAACTATCGTACAAGATGTATGTTTTTATACAGTTGTAAATATTATAATAAATAATAAAATATAAATATAATGTTAATATTATTATATATATGGGTTACTCCTAAAATTTCACCTTTTTTAGTAAGTTTTATCAAAAATATTTACAATCACTTTTTACTTTAGCTATTAGGCATACCTGAGAACATTGATGAATTTTGGCACACCTACAAACTTATATCAAATTATATAATAATTTCTTTAAATTTTTTTAAGGACAGGAAGCCTAATTCTGTTGACAGAGAAATGTCAAATGGTCACCAATTTCCTCAATTTAAGGTAGAAAAATGTTCTCCAATTACTCAAGTAAATTTCTCTTTGAATGAGAGTATTATTTCAATAATGTAGCCAAGTAACACATATTATTGTGATTGTAGCTTTAAACAAAATTCCCATAACCACAAAAGTTTTGGATGAACATGATGATACTTCCAAAAATAATTAATCTTGTAATTTAATTTTACTTGTTACATCTGTTGATTCAAGAACTTAATATAACCTAGTGCCAAGTGTATGATAGAGGACCAGGTTTTAGAGCATTTAACTAAAAAATGACACATAGAATTATTAACCTATATTCTTAATAAGTATTTTTTTTTTTTTTTTTTATCATTTTGCAACTACTATTTCTATTTAAATATTTGGACAGGAGTTCTGACTTTTTAATTGAATAACCCACATATGAGAAGTCAGATCATTTATCGTGTAAGGCTTTGGGATAAAATGCAGTTGAGAGCAGAAAATTTATTTTTTGTTTTATCAGCCATCGGATTGACCCTGAGGTCAGAAGAGCAAACTAGCGCAATCCCATCTTCAATAAAGCCGATAACTGGCCCCTGAGTGATTGAGAGACAACCCATGATTGGTGATAGCATCATCTCCTTTAATGTTTACTGGTCAAGAAAGAATATGGTTTTACTAAGAGCTGAACCCAAGACCCTTGATGGTTTACAGTGGTGATGGTTTTAATATGATTTATTTATTAAATCATATTAAATCTTATAAAGTTTTAAATTTAAAGTCTACCTCAGTAAAAAGATCTCCAATCCATTTAGTTGTAATGAGGGTAAGCATGAGAGGAAGACCAAATGTAATGTTACCAGTTGCTTCAATCATCATGACAGTGAGAGAGATTGATATTCGACAGATTCCACCGAGATGTGCCGCGGCTCCTATTACGGCATATTTAGCTGGCTCTGCCCATTCCTGAATGAAATAACAAATTTAAAATTATGCTTTCAATAGCCATATAATAAAACTTCATGATCATAGGTATATCATAGATTATAGGTTATATAATTGGAATACTAAGGTAGTTTAAAAACTGTCTAAAACTATTGAATACAAATCACTAACCCATACATGACAAAACAAAATATAAAATCATTTAATTTTTCATTCGCTTAATAAAATCTTTTATTAATTCTTTTAATACTCTATCTTGATACTCAGGTCTTTATATTTACCGCTTCTGGAAAGAAATGCTGAATCCCTATTCCAATTAAGCGACCCCATGCAGCACCTGAGAGTAAGGCTGGTACAAAAACTCCAGCACTCACACTGAGACCAGTTGTCATGATGGACATCGAGAAATACATTAGGAAAAATACTAAAAGTGGAATAACACTATAAGAACCTGAAATAGAAAAAAATTGTTTAATAAATCAATAATAATAACTTGAAAATTGTATTTTAAATATGAAGTTAACAGTAACAATATAAACATTAAGAAATGCAATATTAGTTGTCCAATTTATAAACTTTTGTCAAATTTACAATTACCTTTAGGATCATGAAAAAGAGAACGAAGGGTGTCTTCCGATTTCTGAAACCAAAACGCACTCAGCTCATTGTGAAGATTTTCATGGCAGAACATCTATGGAAATTAAATAGCCTTCATATAATATAGTGAAATATAACTACTAAAGGACTAGAGATCATCAAAACCATTATATTTAATTAAAATTCAATGATTCTTACTCAGAATAGGTATATGAATAGTTCCAAACAGATATAAAAAAAAATAAAATGTGCAAACTATTACTGCAATTTAATTTTTACTGATGAAGGAAGTTCCAGTGCCATTGGCTTGCAATAGTGCTAAGAATATTGCACATTTAAACCAAATTGTATGGCATTCATATCCTATATTTGTTACCAACCAGGTATGAAACTTTAAAAAGAAAAATGTTAATTTTAATAAATATTTTTTCATCAATAGTGAATTATTTTATCGAGGAATCGTGAACCTAATTTAAAAGATTTATACAAATAATAGGTGCTAGATAAAAATAGGCTCATTATTAACCAGGGAATTAACTCATTATCAACAGTAGCTCATTATTAACCAAAATGGACAAGGATTGCTACAAGGATGCTGCAAGTCCCCCACTCTATTTAAAATATACCTTGATGAATGCCTATAAGGATGGATGAGGAAATGTGGAAAAAAGAGCATCAAGTTAAGAGGAAAAAATGTATCCCATTTACCATTTGCTGATGACCAGGTAATAATTGCACAAGACGAAGAGGATATAAGCTACCTATTCAGAAAAATATTTGATCATTATGAGCAAATAAATTACAGCAAAACCAAATATATGTGCACAGAGAAAGAAGAGAGCACTGACCCAACATTATGCAACCTAATGAAGGTGGAAAAGTTTTGTTACTTGGGATCCGCAATTGAAAGTAATGGGAGAAAAGAGGAAGAAATCCAAAAATAGATCACAAATGGTAAAACAGCAGTGGTAATGCTTAATCCATTACTCTGGAGCAGCAATATTTTACTAAAAACAAAAAAGCTAATATACAAACCTTTGGTAGAAAGCTTAATGTTGTATGGTTCGGAGACATAGCCCCTTAGTATGATCCATGGAAAAAAGTTCCTTTCAGTTGAAATGAATTTTTGGAAGAGAGCTGCTAGGATATCAAGGATCAAAAGGGTGAGAAATGCCACTATAAAGGAGAGATAGGAAATAAAGCACTCAGGTGGTATAAATGATCGACAATAGGATACCAAAGATAATTGTAGATTGGGAGGCAGAGAGTAGAAGAAGAGGAAAACCTCCAGTTAGATGGAAGGATAAAATAGTGGAGAGTATGGCTAAGAGGGACTATTAGAGGAGGATATGATAGACTGGTAGAGATGGAGAGACTTGCTAAAGAAGGAGTTTGGTTGAGGAAAACTTTATATTGAAGAAACTTCTAAATAAATTTTTTTTCATCAGCTGAAAAAAATAATTTTAAGTTTTCGTTCCTTTTATCTTTGTCTTCCTCATATCTAAAAAAAAAAAAAAAAAAATCAGGAATCAGGAGAGAGGTATCTAAGGTTTCCTGTAGCGATACCTATCAATACCCTTGGCTATAAGATATTTACATGAGAGCAGTATCATTTGCGGTTCTGTTAAGCAAATTAGCAGAATGATCCCCAAACTTACATTGCTTGGCGAAGCAAATTATGTAAACTTATGCTTTAAGGAAAGTTGATAATGAAAGATATCAATAGCGGTTTAATGAGTTATAGAATAGCTTAAATTAATTGTTAATATTCATGGTTAAAGGTTTCAGTGATATTTACAGTATTATTATGACAACTAGTAGGCCAGTGCGAAAAATTCGCACAGCATATTGTTAAGTGATCAAATGCCAAATTAATAAGAAAAGAAAATAAAGCAATAAATCTTAAAATAAAGAAATCAATTCTTATTTTATCGATAAATATAATCAACAAAGGAAACAAAAGTTAATTTAAAACTTCATTAATGTTTGGAACCAACATGTTTAAAATTTCAATAAGCTGTTTCTTTGCTAAGAATTGTCCGATTCGATGATTCTTTTCTTTCATAACATTTTTGCCTGAATTTTCAGGTTGATAGGACTATTTTGCCTGCCTGAAGGAGAAGGAAGCCTTCAAAATTGGTGACTCAATCTTGAGATTTGGTGAAGAATTAATGATGATGTGGCTTGCCGACAAAAAACACCTTCGATAAATAATATAAACTCCTCCTCTCTCAATCATAGGGGCCTCAAGTCGACGAAATGAGACATATATTAAATGACAGTACTACAATTAATGTAAGGTTGTGTGGATGCGAATCCTTTGCCTAGCGTTTTCTCGAAAACAGTACGTTTTTGGGATTAAAAACGCAGAGCGTGATAGGAACTATCCGGGTCTTGTTGTATGCATCAAAATCTTTAAAGCCCGATTTGTCCCATATCTACCTACAGACTTATCACCGTTCCACTATTGAAGCCTAGTAAAATGTTTGTATCAACTTTATTTATTTTAGAAAGAAAAACAAAAGTGGAGAATACAATTCACTAACCCTCCGTAAAATTTTGAATCCAACAGTACCCCAATCATGGTATTTGAGCATGACTGGAGCTTATATTTGGTACACAATCGATTTCAAGCCTTACTGTAATAATATATGTGAGGATAAAGTATCAGCCAACTGCTATAACAATGATTCAATATAATCCTACAACTTAAGGATCAGTGTTCTTCATGTAATATCTTCAATTATAAAAAAAAAAAACAGACTAATAAAGTTGATGGACTATTTATATATATTAATAAAACTAATAAAATAAATTTGAGATAAGTATTCCAGGATGAAAATATTAGGATGGGACAAGAGCTCCTTGTGAATTTAAGTACTTAATACCTTAATTAAAATTTATAAAAATATTTTGAAGATTGCTTACAATTACTACTAAAAAGAAGTGTTTATACTCCTAATATTTTATTTGTTTGATTGTTAAAAAAGAAGAATAAGTAGTTTATTCTAACCTGCACAGCAAACTTGGGGCTTTGTTTGGTGAACTCCCTGCAATAATCAAGTGAGTATATAGATGCCATTCCACATGTTGCAGTCAAGAAACCTACAAACAGTACTTCAAGAAGCTTCATCCATTTCTTCTTTATGTGCCTGCAATGATAGTAATGCTGTCAAGAAATTGAAGAAACCGAGATTATTATAAATTGTTTAACATTAAAAATGTGTTATTATACCTATTTCTTATAAAGAAGAAAGAATTTGTTGACAAATATTCAACAAAATTGTTTTTTTCTCGATAATTACAATTGACTAATGTCTATGATTTGTTTCCATAATATTTTTTAAATTATTATTTCAAGAAAATTGGCTACATTGAATTGTGATAAAACACTCCTGAAATATAACATCTTTTTTTTTTTTTTTACACAACAACTTCATCCATAAAAATTACAATTTTTTGTTAAACAATAGATTTATAGTAAACTCTCTAAAACACAGAAAGCAAAGCATGCTCTCCGGTGGAGAACGCTTGGCCCAAAATGCCATAAAGAGAGAATCCTATAAGGAGCAGCAGTTGTAGTAGAAGCAACCAGTAGAAATTTAAGAATCTAGGGTAACAGAACAGGGCTTGCTCACAGAAATAGAGATCCTGTGGTGCATTAATAATTCAAAATCTAAGGAAATTATTCTTTTTGAAGAAGAAATCGTGACAAAGGTTACTTACCCCAGGGCACCAATAGAACTATGGTATGCCTGTCTGGTAAAGACTTTCTCCTACTTTGAGACATACTTATCTGTCATCATATTATTGTCAATAGCTAGAGATTAGGTCTTTCCCACGTTATGAATGCATAAACAGATTATTCTGAAGAATAGTTTGGAGTAAAGGAATTTAGACTTTAAAATGACTGCCTATATAGAAGACTCTTATCTAAAAGATTGAAGATTAGCAGTCAATTTACAGGAAAATAATTAATTTCCAAAGAAATGGAGAATTAGAAAATATACTCATGATTTACCAAAGTCATAATTGTATTTTTTGTTTTAATTTAAGGATATTGATTAATTAATTAATTATTATTAGCAAAACATTGAAATTTTCAATAAGTTTAGATAGAAAATTGATACCAACTTCATTCTAAAAACCATAAGTCGCATGTTGATGGCAACAAAAACAGCTCCCAGCAGTCCTCCAATAACTCCCATCAAGATGAAAATAGGGAGTTCAAAAACCTCATACTTGGTGATGGTATCATTCAGTCTACCAAAAAACAAGAGTCCTGGATGAGTTAACTGCCCTATAATGAGATTAAAAAATATATATTAAATCAACGATAAATTAGTTAAATTAAGAAAAATCAAAAACAAAAAATACACCAGTTAAAATATAAGAAATATTTATTATCTCTTATATTTTAACTGGTGTATTATGTCTAATCATATTAAAGTAAAAATGTCAACTCCTAGTAAATGTGGCACTATTGGGTTAGTCTAGTCTCCCTCATTGTAATATTTTTAACAATTTAATATTGAGATATCTCAAAAGTGTTAATTAATGATTAGTGTTATTAACGCACATTTTATTCCCGATTCCAAGAATACATTCACTGAATTTAATAAAAGAGTTTTATTATGTTATTTGACCAATTGTATAACTTTAAGTTGAATAAGCTCCAAGGATTGTCAAACAGCAGAGATGCCCATCCCCCCAAGGTCCATGGTTTATGAACTTCCTCCTTTCCGCAAGATATTATTACTCTTCTTTTCTTAATAACAGTGCAAACTAAAGTAGAATTTTAAAAATTATAGGTCATATACAATCTGGTAGAGTATATTTGGTTTGAAACATTTCATTTTCAAAATTCATAACCCCATCGAAATGTGCATCTCTCAAAAAACCAAATCCTGTCAAAGTGTGCCTTCCTCAAAAATCCAAATCCTGTCAAAATGTGCCTCCCTCAAATATTTTGATGGCGCAACTTGTTTGCCATGAAACTCCCTTCATGGCATCCTTGCTAAAGAGAATGGCTCTGCTCCAATCATTGTTTAAATCAGGAGGAAAAAAAGTCAATAGGAAGGTGAAGAAATTTGGAGGGATCTCATATGGGAATGGAATGCATCTATCAAAATGTTGTAGGATTCAAATATGAAAACAATAACGATCATTAGTGTCAATAGTTTCTAAATATATCCAAATAGTAATTCGTTGTATCGAAAAAAAATCGATTACCTGGACTTTAATATTTGTAATACAACGAAAGAGTAAGGTTGTAAATATCGGACACAAATATAGAAATATCGATAAAAAGATCAATTTCTGGCATAGATGTTTTTAATATTTTAAAGAAGGGAAGATAATTAACATTGAATTGAATTTTAGATTTGCAATAGCTAAATTAAATATTTATACATTGATCATTACAAAATATCGATTTATTATTATGATATATTACAGGCATATATATATTGATATACACGCAATTAAAGTATAAACTATAAAGTTATCGGTAACATATACATTATTTACAGAATAAGTTAGTCGGAGAGAGAGGGGTTGCAGTCAATACATAAGATATTATATTACACAATGGTATTTTTTATTGAATTTCCAAACATTTCGACCTACCTTATAGGTCTTCCATCAGACACATGTATCGATATAAATTATTTACTTAATTTTTCGAGGGTGTGGGACTCGATGGGAGTGTAAAACACTGGACAATTGTTCCCTTCAAACCTCCGTCTTTGATTAACTAATTTTGAATATGTACGTGAATGTTTTCATGAATAACAAATTAATAATAATAAAAAAAACTATAATCTTAAACATTCCCGATGACGAGTAATTATTTGTTTAAAAGTAACGAATATTGTGTTATGAATGATGTATGTTTTTTTTTATCTATAAAAGATGTATTTGCGCCTGTCAACTTATTGTTGACAATCAGCAAATGTGATGGCGATACATGAAATAATGACAAGACAGGCACGAGGAAGGAAAGCACTCAGCAGTACCTTTTCCCTAACTTGTTCCAATTACTTAAATTGTTTAAGGAAGGAGATCTCTCATCCAACTACTTTTTAGTCTCCTCCTCATGTTCTGGGGTATGTCAGCTGTGGCCATGTCTCTTATTAGTCTGTTATTATGTCCATTTAAATTTGTGTAAAATCGTTGATAAAGGATCGTTATATGTTGGTCAATTGTTGGAAGGTGGAGGTCAGTATGTAGAGTTATGTTAGTCACGTACCAAGTTGCTTTTGTTCTGAGTTGCAATAATTTTGATTCGAACGTTTGAAGTTTTTGTGGGTGGGTCTTTTTAGCGATGCCGTATATTTGTGATGAGTACGTCCGTATGGGCTTACATAAGTATGTATTCAGTTTCTGTTTTAGTTTTAGTTTTGAAGATTAGGAAAAAAAATATAGTAAAATTGTTTGAGTCGTTTGTTAAGTGTCTTACGTTTCATTTTAACATGCGGACCCCATGTCATCCTTCTGTCGAAGGATTTGATTCATCATGAACAAAAAAAAAAAAAAAAAAAAGGAAAAGGAGTTCACAATTTTTTTCACCGAGAATTTTGGCGTTTAGTTTAAAGTTGGAACCAATCAACATAGAAAACTGTTGAAGTGGGAACTTCTTTAGTTTTGCACTTTTTTGTTGGAGAGTGAATTATATTGGCGATCAGATTTCCGATGTGTAACACTCGGGTAATGTCGGCTGGAGTCGACTAATTGAAGTATGTTTGTGAATATGGATTAAAATATCTCAAAAACTAAAAATCGGACCTGAATACTGCAAATGAGGGAATTGTTCAGCATTTCATCCTCTCTGTAATGGGCTATTATTCAAAATTATATCTTAACGAAACGCCATGTTAGAGTGGCGCAAAGGAAAAAGATATTGTCGAAAACAAAATTATAACGAGTTTTATTGGAGATATAGATTAAAATATCTATGTATGTTAATATACTAAATATATTTATAAGAATAGCTTAATTTTTTGAATAACTTATAGATAAGAAATAACGAATAAAAATATCATGTTTTTAATAAATAAAAAAATAAAATAAATAACAAGGATTATTTTGCTATTTGAAAAGTATTAGTCTTCCATTTCACCATGGATTGTTAGTATATCTATGTTAATTGTGTTATTAGGGACTTATATATGCAGAACAGGAAAGGATACTACTATATTATAATGGTTCATTAAAGGTTGTCAACCAATTATTCTATAAAGAGAAAGAATATAAATGTTGGTTTCAGGAATCCGTCACGAAATACAAAATTCAAATGCCCAATTGTCCAGAAACCTTAATTTCGTGAGCAAAACTCAACAAATTATTTATTCAATTTTAAACTTATAGTGGTGGCAAGGGTTCAATATTATCACTGCCTAATAGAAACCGCACGCTTGTCAAAAGATGAAAGGATTTTATCTTTTGATTGCAGATGCTTCTTAAGCTGCGTTTAGACATTTCACAAACTATGGGACTATAAATGGTTATTTCACTATAATAGTTTTTTTATGATTTCCATCTGCTGTCTGTATTAAGAGAAATAAAAAACATAGTTTGGTTTAGCAATACTGTTAGTTAAGTTAGATAATTGTGTTTTCCATAGTTTGTGATATGTCTAAATGCACCTTTGGAATCGATATCAGGTAATATTGACAAATCATGTAAGATCTTACGGAAGTAAATTACAACTGATCTTTAAAAAAAAAACCTCTCTTCAGGTAAGTAATTTTTTGAATGACGAATCTTTTTATGTGAGAACTTTTTCTCTATGTTTTTCTCATGGTGATTACTTGTTCACACTACGTTTTGGCTCACAATGTTGTTTCATGAAAGTGAAACTAAAATCTCTCTTAACAACCTATAAAAATATCAGTTGCTTGTTTTTCTTCCATTTTTTTAATATTTATTTTTAAGCAAGTGAAGTACCTAATTATTATTATTTTTTTAAATATTGTATTCAAATAATTTAATAGGTTTCATATTACTCTATTTGACGTTTGCTTTCCTGTAATTTTTATGTAATAAGTTAATTGATTTTTATTTTATTCATTTATTTCTGTCCGTGTTTTATTGAAGTTAAAAGATCTTTTGTCATCAAGAATAATTTTGCTGTCGAAAAGGTGCATTACGTAACGTCTCACAGCCAATAAATACAAAAAATGTACAACTCCGTCTGTTATGCACCCAAAAATACTAGGTCTGAACATAAAATATCTGTATACATCACAGACGGATCTACGGGTGGGAAGCTTTCGGACTGAAGTCCACCTCCTCCAAAATCGTAAAATTTATGCATGTCTTATGAAAAAAATTATCTTTAAAAAGTATTATTATTATTTGTTAATTACATATATTAGGACTTTAAGAATCACTTAAACGCTATTCCTTGTAGGTAGTTTCTTTTTTTTTTTTTTTTCTTCCAAAGTATTTATTGTTTTATATATATATATATTTATATATATTTACAAGTGGTATACGGATCTAGACAAGTCTTGAACATTTAAACAATTAGGGCCACTCGAAAAAAAAGTTTAAAAAACTCAAGCGGACAATTAACGAATGCAACTACCACGAAATAATCAATCATCATCTTTGTTAGATCATCTTGATGAAAGTTTTTCAAATCTTTTCGGTAGTTTCCAAAATGTTCTATTTAAGATATTTTAAGGTTTAAGTTCCCTTTGGGGCCGTTTACTATCCGCAAGCCTACATAACCGCTTAGTCCGCTTATCTCTTAATCCGCCCTTGTATCAATACAATATACTAGGAACCACGTTTAAGTTTTCGCGGGTATTCCGAGTTTCATATTATTGTACTGCCCAATACCTCATTTATACATTTTATTAAGTATTAATTTACATACATTATAAATATAGTTAACTTCTTGACTACCTTCCTCCCTACAATAAGAATGATCTGAGGAATTAATATTGTTCAAAGCTAAGGTTACCAGATTTTATAATTGGCAAAGCGTGGCACTATTGACCAAAGGAGAGGGGAGGGGGGAGAGAGCATGTTTCAAATTTGTTGTTGCAATAATTAATTTTAAATAATGATAATCTGGTGCAAATGTGCTGAATAAGGTAGAAAATTTAGTTCTAAAGACACATTTTGACAACGAATAATTTTGTGGCGTATTTAACACCTATTCTATGATTTCAATAATAACACTGTTTTTAAGACTTAGATGTTTTGTGCCAGCAGTTTGTACACAATCAAGTAGCTTTTTATCAAAATGCTAAAAACTTATTGAAGGTGACAAATTTTCGGTAATCAAAGTAGCAAATGAAGTTAATTTGCTGATGCTAAAGACATAACGTTTTCCTGATTAATATATTTTTTTTAATAATGATACCTTATTAAAAAGATCCAAGCAGCGATGGTTGAATTCTAATAACTGATCAACAATGGGAATTTTACTAAGCAATTCTCGATAATCAGTTCTCAACAATTATTCGGCATTATTGAAGTTTAACATTATAAAATTAACAAAAATAATATAAAGGTAATATCCTAGCGAAATAGAGCCATATGAACGCCGAAAACATTATATTATCTTCACATTCTTCTGCTGTTCCTTAGCTTGTTGTGCATTCTTTCAAAAAATCGGAACTTTGTTAAAACGTCGCGGAACGCGACTTATTGTTAAAAATTTGGGACTGTCCCGCCAAAAGACGTCTGAATACCTTTTTCAAAGCTAATTAATTATATCAGCATAGGGTAGGTTTAGAAGGCTGTAGAACGTATTATAATATTTTACCACGGGTTCCTGATTCTCACACCGTGCAAAAAATGGGATTAAGGATTTTTGTTTACTAATACATATTGGGATAGCATAAAAAAATTGAGTTTTCCAATAAAATATCCTACAGAAGAGTTTTCTTTGGTCTAAAAATCTTCATAAGAGAATGGTCACTCATCACGAAGGCCGTGACGATACTGAGTATTATAAAAAAATGATATATGCGAATCCGGCCTAGGCCTGTTGAAATTTATTTCGTGGCAGACCCACTGAATGAATTTCGACCTTTAAATTCTGGTTAGATTTGGTTAGTTATACATGTGCAATAACCTATTCCTTCCCATCCCCATGCCAGAAATGGCCAAAGAGGAAGATAAAAAAGAACGCCTTTTTATACAGGAAATAAGTAAAATAATTATGATAATCACCCCAACTTTCCTAAAAACCGTGGAATACATTTTATGCCGATTTTATTCAATATTTAAAATTTTTAATCCCAAAATAATTTCGTTTTGTTTTCATCTTGCAGTAAAAACATTATCAAAATCACTGTAGGTTGTTTCTAAAACGTATTTGATAATTCGGTGTTTAAATATCTGTAAAAAATTCAGTGTGTCCTGTAAATATCGGAATACATATAAATAGGTGGTAGAAGACCTCAAGAGAAATAAAAAATATCTTCCGGTACCACAAAGAAAATCAAGAAATTCATATTTTGTAAGCATTTCACGTTGTTGTTTTCAATAGGAAGCAATAACAGAAATTTGTTTTATTTTAAATAATTACCAATTGCAGCATAGTAAATTTGACCAAAAGTTTTAGGTGGCCAAATTACATAAAGTTCTGTTTTTTTCTCTAAAATCATGGATTATTTGAGCATTTTTTTGTGTATCTTAATCCCCTATTTAAAAAAAAACTTTCTTGTTTAATAACTTCAAGGTGAGATTCGAAATTGTCTACTCAAATCAGCAGAATTTTTAGCAACAATTACAATCCTAAACATCTACCCTGTGGAACTTTATTTGCGACTCGAGAGTACTAATGTGTAGTCCCCACCAGCACAATCGACAACACAACCTAAAAATCTAATTGATAATTTTTTGATTATTAACTTATTAATTAATTAATCAAAATTGATTTATTAACTGAACCAACGTTCCTTTTATTATTTTTTTATTATATGAAAAACTAAGTTAACGTTTTTGATATTAAAACAGGAATCATTAGTAATAAGCCAGTCCGTGAATGCACCTCCACACAACAGGCATTATGAAATAAATTTTTAAAACAATACTTGGTTTGGTTGTATCCAAAAAGAGGGTACCTGGGTGACCCTCAACAGCACTGAGAGATAAGTTGAGAGTAAAGGTAGCCACCATTGAGGACAGGAAAATTTTCCAGATTAATGATAAGCTCCAGAAACTTGTTCCTTCTTCTAAACTCAACAGCACGCCACCTGGAAAAAAATGTGTCATTATAATAACTTGTTTCTACTTGGAAATAGTAAGTATGTATAATTGTTTATATCAGACTTGGTGTAAAAAGTATTTTAATTGTTATTTTAAAATATCAAGTATTTTGTGTTTTATTGAATTTTAATTATAAAGTTTCGAAATTATTTTTTCAAATATCAACTACTGAAAGTATTTTGTATTTTAACTATAAAAAATACCAAATATATACGTCTCTAGAAGAGACGCTTTCAAATTAAATAATTAAAAATAGGTTTATTCTGGTGAAGATTAGAGTTATGAGATTATAAGACACCAGGTATTATATTGTAAGGTTTTACATAAATTGAACTTAGTCTTTTTTGTAGCTTAAAAGTATTTGAAAATATTATTAAAGAAAAACCTAGGTGAAGGCGGAAAAGGAGTTGTATGAGGAGCCTCCTAGTGTGACAATGAAATTTTTCTGAATGGCAGGAGGATGCATGCATGGGTGCCTAGAAGGGGGTTTCATGGCACAAGTTGAGCCATCAAAATTTTCGAGGGAGGTATATTTTGTATTTTTTAGGGGGTCAAATTTGGACGGGGTTATGCATTTTCGACCTAAGGGACAAGAGGAAAATATGGAACAGGCCACAACAAGTGTTAATCTATATGATCTACGATTTTTCTAATTATACCTTTGTGCGCTCCGTTTTTAAGAAAAGGTGAGCAACAAAATACTTTGGGAAGAAGGGAGAGTGTGGGTTCTTGTACCATGGACCTGGGGGTGGGATGAGCACCTGTAGATGCCTGACTTGATATTGTATCCCTTATGTAATGTCATGTAATGTCACATATGTATAAACTCATTAACAATGTATATTTTCCAGGTGCAAATAAAATATACTAGCTAAACAAAAAACTGATTTTCCAATGCAACCTTAGAAAATTTAACTTTGCTTCGTTGCAAAGTTCTACCAGTATTATTGTAGCGGTTTAAATTAAATAATTAAATTTATTAATCATCGTTCAGTAAGGAAGTAGTCGATCATAATTATTGAAGTTAAAACTTCTTTAGCAGTGTTTATCACTTTATTTTGTGGGTCTTGAATGGGAGCGAGCCGTCACGTTCGGCTATGTAACGCCCATTCGGGTCAAGTCGGCTCGGGTCGATTAATTTTTACATTAATAAATTTAATAAAAATTTGACGTGCATACTGTAAGCGAGGGAATTGGTTAACATTTCGTTATCTTTGTAAAAAGATATTATTTAAAATTATAGCTTGACGCGACGTAGCGTCAGAGAGGCAAAAAGGGAAAAGGTAGTTTAAAAAATCAAATGATAATGAGTTTTTTTTTGACATTTGGATTAAAATATCTCAAAAACTAAAATTCGGACCTGCATACTATAAGCCATGGAGATTTTCAGGATTTCATCCTCATTGTAATGAGCTATTATTCAAAAATTTTGAAGAGATTCCGAGTTGGAGAGTCTAAAAAGGAAAAAGATAGGCGCCACAAAAAAAACAACAACAAAAAAAAAACAACAACAAATAATAACAACTGTTTTGAACATTAGGACTAAAACATTTCAAAATTTAAATACCATGGAAAATTCAGAAACCAATTTGCATAAGTCAATATTGATATATTTTTTAATTGTACCTAAAATAACTAACAATATTAAATGAACGCTAGATTTGGTTATATGGAATGATCCAAATTAGTGTTGCTCAAATGCGAGACCGAGACGAATCTTGGTCTTGCAAATTCAGTCTTGGTCTTGCGCAAGAGTCTCGCAACAGTCTTGCAGTTACTTAACTCATTACTATAGAGATATTACTGTAATTTGTTAGATAGGAGAAACCTAACTGAGTCCGAATGAAAAAATTAGAAGACTTAAATGCAAAAGTATATTGGTTGTACCAATTATTAACATACAGTAACTAAAATTATAAAACTAAGTATTAGTAACTATTTTGCCTTAATTTTTATTTAAAAAATTGATTTTTTTTTTACTGGTCTTGGTCTTGCAACAATTAGGCGGCCTAGGTCTTGGTCTTGCAAAGTAAAAGACCAAGACCGATTTTGGGCAACACTAATCCAAATAAAAGCGCAACAAAATATAGAACATCGATTGACTGCGTTTTTCTTGGTTATTTAGCAAATATATTTCAATCGGAAATATTCATCACATATTTTAGTTTTCATACTCCTATTGTTTCATTTTTAACTTATTATACAAATGACGATCAGACAGAACAAAGTTTACCAGAGTAATTTATACAAAATTATAATTTTATATATTGAAAAGGTTACAGTTGCTCAGAACCCGAAAATTACTTAAAATTTATGATACCTCTAAGAATGTTAAGGACGGTAAGTCGTTAAAGAGTATCGGGTAGTGACCATCTAAAATTGCTCCATGGGAACAATACATACGTCATAAATACAAACGAATTCTGCAAGAGGTGCGGCCAACTTATCAATAACGGTTTAAAGCACTTGATGCCGGGGTGTTTGTTTCTGGAGACACATAGAAGGAAATACCTACATACACATCTATAGACTGCCACAGATGATTTATCACTGGAGTGTGTATTGGATATAAAAAATCTTGACCAGTTGAACAAAATATTTTATTTTATGATAAGTGTTTGTGGCTCTATCGAAAAAAGTACAAACCCTCAGCTTTAGGTCAGTCAGGCATGTGTTCATATGTCCGTAGGCGTACCTGTATTTATTCACAATTTGGGTACCTTTTAAATATTATTATTATTAATTGTACGATTCTACATGTGCGTTGTAATCCTAAGATTTATACTATTTGTTTTGCTTTGTTGAGTTCTGCATAGAAATTTTTTTTTAGTATATATCTCATTTATGATATTTATTATATAAACATATTTATATATAAATAATAAAAATATTTATGATGTTTGTTATATAAAAATATTTTTGTTTTGTTCTACTTATAAAACTAATCCCTACTAACACTAAATGGGCCAGACTCCATTGCTACGATGTATATTAAGCCAATAAAAAAACATTCTATTCTATTCTGTATTGAAAATGTTATTACTTTGTGAATATAGAACAAAAAAAAAATATATTACATATTATTAATCCCAAGTTGTTGATAATTTCACTTCTATCAGGTGTTCTTAAGCACATTTTTTTTTTTGTTTTTTTATATAATAGTGTAGTGAAAGAACTATGGAGACGAGATCACCTACCAACAGGAGCCCCGAAAGCAGCGGCTACGCCAGCAGCCGACCCACCCGCGACGAAGTCCCTCTTCTCGTGATCCTGCCTGAAGTAGTGGAGGACCGAGTGCGGGCCCAGGCAGGGCAGCCACAGCGTCGCCAGGGAGCCGCCCACGATCGCTCCCGAGTGGATCATTGGCCCTTCCTGCAACAATAACGTCATTATTTTAAATTAATCAGTCGGGAATAATTTTATCATTCTTAAATTATTTAAATAACCTAACATTATTTAAACATATCAGTCTGGCAATTAAATAGCGAGACTGATGCTGTTAAACATTCTATTTTAATTTCATAACTTGAAAATTACATCATTTAATGGAAAATTATTAATAATAACTTGAAAAGTAAACAGACTTCCAGGTAGACTTCCAGGAACCCAGTGAAGGATCACAGTCCCATTAATATGTTAAAAATAAACATTATTGCTTTGAATTTTGAAATGGTCATTCGATTTTGTTTTTGTGTGAAGTTGTACTCTTCCAGTGTATGTGTTAACGTTTGGTTTTAGGATTATACGTAAAAAAACGCTGCAAATTATTTCACAATGGTTTATTATTTTTAAACAATTATACATCTAAATTAACATTACCTTCCTAATTACAAGGACAAATAAATACAATGTGATTCCAATTAATGGATTAAACTTTTTTTTTTAATCATTAGTAATATGCTAAAAAAATTAGCATTACCTAAGTAACACATTCAAAATTTAAAAACCAAACAAAGGATATAAACTATTCAGCAGAAAAAAAAACCCCAAAAAAAAAAAAAAACTGGAGACCATATTTTTCTTCCTAATTGTCCGATTTTAACGATTTGTTTTTTTAGAAAATTCCGTAAACTTTTAAAAAATCATACAATATAAAAATAAAGCGTATACTTTTTGAGTTATGCGGAATTTAGTTTTAGCGTTCCTCGTAACTTTTTTCAGTTTCTTTTCTTTGAAGTATGCTATATAGATAAATTTAAAGGGTGTCGAGAAAATGACTTTAGCGAAGTTTCATTGAAATCGGTAGATTCGTTTAGGCGCTACAGTCTATAGCAACGCAGTTTTTTTGGCCGCCATTTTGAAAATAAAAGACGGATAGTAATGTCGATGAAGGAGGATCATCCTCTGGTGGCCTCTGATTTTATATTAAAATTTTAAAAAAATGGTCCAGTAGTTTCGGAGAAAATGCGCGGACGGCGGACCCACAAAGAAATTTTTATTCGTTTTTCGAATTCTACGCACCCTAAAACGTAAAACGTCAAATTTTGAGAGTGGGTTAGGTTTTTGAATTTGTCGGTCGATCACAATGGTTCATTATTGAAAATAATAAACCAAAACATGACTCGTTAACCTGGATTAAAAAGAAATAGCGTCCTTAAAAAGCTGAGAGAGCAAGACATGTAGCACTTTTTCATACAATGGAAGATTCACATGAAGCGTTATAGAGATGACAGAGGGTTGTATATTGAAGGTTACAATAAGTGGACATGTATGGAATCACTGGATAATGATCCTTCTACCTCGATATTATTTCCAGCCTTTCCTTCCAAGATGGCGGCCGAAAAACCTGTGTTGGTTTAGACTGTAGCGACTAAACGATTCTACCAATTTCAATGAAACTTGGCTAAAGTCTTATACTTGCCCTTTAAATTTATCAATATAACATAATACTATTAAAAGAAGCTGGAAAAAGTTACGAGGGGTGGTAAGGTTAGATTTTGGAACAACTCATGTCTTTTTTTTTTAACTTTACGAAATGTCCTTGAAAAAAAAATCGTTGAAATCGGATAATTTGGTACAAAGAAATGGTGTTCTAAATATTTTTCATAAGTTCTACTGCAAAAGTTTTGTTTCGGTTATCTTTTGTTTCGGTTTTGGATGTTTTGAAAGTATTACTGTAACTGGAGCAATGTTATCGTTTTTTAAAGCAAATTATCAATGAAAAAAAATTATTTAGAGCGATGTTAGAAATTCCTCTTTATTTTTTCTCCTTAATGTTACATAGAAGTTAGAATAATAACCTATTATAGATTAGTAACAAAATAGCCAAGAGACAGAACATTACCATTACATTGAGTGTAATGTTAATTTTGATGTTTAATTATTTAGAAATAATAAACCATTGTGTAATTATTTGCAGCGTTTTTTTATGGAGAATTTGTTCGATAATTGTATATGAACTGTAATTTTAAAATTAATAAAATTTAAATTTTTTGTGGTACTTTTACGGGGCTTGTTATCGGGGCTTTACATGAAGATTTAAAATGTATTAAGGACGAGACTTAAGCCTAGGTTTATCAAAATAATTAGAGACATAAAATGTATCTTTTGATTATGATGCAGTCCTTTTTGTACTAAGGATGCCGAAGAAGATATAATTTTGGCACTGACAGGTATACCTATAGCTGAATTATTTTTTAAATCTTGGTAGTGGAAATAAAAACGAATCGATGCAAAATTTTCCTTAAATTGGTGTAATCAATAATAGTTAGCTAGTTATATCTCCTTCATGTTCCTTATAACTTTGTTAAGTTTATGAAAACATCCTTGATCAAATATATATAAAAAAAGAGAGAGCTGTATGTTGCAGTGCGTGTAAAATATTGACAGTGAGAAGGATATGGAAGAGGCAGTGGAGGGGATACTTCGTCAATATTTGGCCATTCATCTGCCGGCTCGAGGGCTTTCTATTACCTCTCCTTGTGTCCCATCCGGTCGTCACAATGTGCATACAAATAACCATCATCGTCGCCTTCCCACCGTGCAATCAGTGCTCATCAATTTCATCTAATCATCTAATCAATATTTAAAATGCAATATCACACTAAATGTGTTTCGGTTTATAATTTTCAACAATCAACTTGAAATTACGTTCGGAGACACGTAAAATTTGAAAATAGAATACAAAACATCAGTCCGTCCGTCGTACAGAGGTTTTCTCCGAGACTACTGGACCGTTTGTTTTGAGATTCAGCATCAATGTCAAAGAGCACCCGAGAATGATCCTCGGAAATAGGCATTACCATCCACCCTCCCTTTCAAGATGTCGGCCGCAAATCCCTGTGTCGCTATAGACTGTAGCACCTACAGTGATCTATTTATTTTAATGAAACTTTGCCAAAGTCTTCTCCTCGAAGCCTTTTAAATTTATATATAAAACATTCTTCAGCGGAAAGTACTTTGTTATCAAGATGGTGGTCGAAAAACCTGTATCATATAAATTTATGTACCAATTTCAATAACAATCAGCTAAGGTATTTTCTTCGAAGCTCTTTAATTTTTTCCATATAAATACTTCATCTATATGGTAAATTATTCATATAGTTCAAAATTGAATAGAAGTATTTGAAATAAATATATTTCAATAGTTTTTATCTATATTTCTTAAAAAAAATTATCTAGGCCAATCTTAGGGACCACATTTTATTTATTCTCCTCTATGTGACAAGAAGAAGAATATTACGTATGATATATAACGGTTTGAAAGTAGTAAACCATTGTGTAATAATTTGCAGCGTTTTTAAATATTTCCCTATTTAGATCCAACAAAAAGAAAGGTTTTCAACTACTATCATTAATCAGTATATTAAAAATGTACAATAAAAGTAGATTTCCCATGTTTGATATCTCATTTGTACTGTGATCATCATTGAAAACACACACTGTCATGGTTGCACTATCAGATTACTTAGTACTCCAAATCGTAAAAAAAATGTGTTCTAATAAAGATGTTCTAAAAAAGATGTTCTAGTACTTCTTTTTTTTTTTTACTAATAAAAGAATATGAGATAGCGAAATTGTCTTTAAAATATAGCTTTTAATAAATGGTCTAAATTTCATATCATTAAAATTTTCCAAACAGCTACTTTCTTATCATTTTCTCTAAAAACTCCTTTCACGTTAATGTGAAGTATATAATTATATAATAATTACTGTACATCAATCGTTGAAATCGTAAGTAGAAATTCTGAATAGAAAAAAGTTTCATCACTTATGACAAATATTTTTGAATCATAGAGATATTTTTTAAATTAGTATGAACTGGCCATACTATCCAGTTGAAGTTTTATATTTAAATAATAAAAAATATATTGTTTATGAATGTTATAATTTGTCTCAAATTGTTTCAACTTTACAAAAATATTATATGATACAATAAATAAAAATGAAATAAAAATAAATACATAATACGATATAAGAAATGGAGATTGAAAATAAAATTCACATTCAATTTTTATCAGGTTGCAGAAAAAATATATTTTTTAGGGAACATAATAAATTTTCCAATTTTTCTTTTAATAAATCGAAGAAAACCCAGCTTTCTTGTAGAAAAGCTGTTACCATCGCTGGACAAGCATGGGAAACAGAAGAAGACAGCACCCTACAGAAGAAGGTTCTTGACAGCCCAACACAAGTTCAGGACGAGCTGCCCAGCAATATTAATCTGAAGATTATTTTCTTTATATACTGAAAAAACAGAAGATGGGCTGAGTAGATTGTCTTTACCGTCCAACAAGGTAAGTAGAAGAAGAGATGGATGAACACGAACCAATCGACATCGCAAGTAAAATAAAATATAGAAAATTGCAAACCAATCAACATAATTAAGAAACTAACCACATTGTAATATATCTTGTAGATCTTTTGCCGATTTAAGAAGTGTACTCAATGCCTGCCTATCTCGGGCTATTTCTTTCCAGTTGTCTGCATGCAATTCTATTGCATCTTTGTTGATACAATCTATCCATCAGCTTTGCAGCCTTCTACGTGGTCTTTTGCTTACTATCGAGACATTCATGTAAATACTTCCAGGTATGTTCCAAGCTGAAACGGAACTGGGGAAATATCAGGCTGGATTTCGAAGAGGACGCTCAACCACTGATCAACTGTTCTCTCTGAGGATGATCCTAGAAAAGACTATGGAGCATAAGGTAGTCACCCACCATTTATTCCTAGACTTTAAAGCAGCATACGACAGCGTTGATAGAACGCAACTATACTGTGCCTTGGAGGAGCTAAGCATCCCTCAGAAGCTCGTACGCCTAATCAAGATGACCATGGACAGCTCGAGATGTAGAATACACGTCGGTTCTGACGACTCCGAAGAGTTTAAAGTGAGCAGTGGGGTTAGACAAGGGGATGCCCTCGCCTGC